CGGAGCGGGTCGGATCCCAGCAAAGAGCTCTGCGCGCTAAAAATGGCTCTAATGTACACGTTGAGCTGAAATGATACTGATTTAATAGGGTAATAGTAAGGGTACATCGCAAATTACAATGCACGCTATCTCCTAATAACCAAGTAATATCTTTATCCACAGGACATTACATTCACCATTTAAAGGAACATTCCACTGAAATGTATTTAACAATTAAGTAGATATACCCTAAATAAAACATGCTTGTATATTTTTTTCTGCACGTTTTGTTCACCTCTGTGCTGGAGCAGTGAGTGCATGTGTGCACGCCATTCCATGCTCAATGACCTAACGGTAGCAGCAGAAAATCTCCTTGCTGTCTGAGAGATAGTACTGGCCCCCAATTATAAAATAGCCAATGTCTACCGAAATCTGTATTTTTATAAACCGCCGAGAGGCTCCAGAAACATGACGCAAGCTGTGCAGAGTGTTCTTTTAAAGGGAGCCCCGCTCCACCCCGACAGACACAAATCCCAATATAAGCACCGAGTCTGAAAAAGGAAAAACAGATCTATGTTTTAGATAAAGAATTAAAACAAAATATAGCTCTCACCATTATTTTCTTTTTTTTTTTAAATTCTTTATTTTTGTGGATAAAGCATGTTGTTTACAATATTACATGTTTGGCAATATAATGAACAAATCACACAGTAAATTCAACATGTTGCGGGAGATATCCATTTTTAAGTTTCGAATAGCTTTTACAGCCCTCTCTCGCCTGTACTCTCGCGGGGAAGTGGTGATGTGTTGGGGGGGCTCCTTTCCTATGGCGGTGAGTGCCCTGAAGCTCGTTTGTGTGGATTTACGTGTGGCATTAACAAATGGCACATCAGGGAGGGTGACCTGCTTAGTGGGGCTCGGTCAGAGCTGTGGGTGCCCATAGGCTTAGTAGTGGCATGGTATATGTGGCGTGGACTTAAGGCACGTCTAAATGTGTGGGTATATGGCATGGGTCCTGCCGGACCTGTGAATAGGGCTTAATGCTATGATTTTGTAAAAAGGCTGTAGTCGCTTATCGAGTGTGAGGGATACAGGCAATATTAATTCTGCTTTGTGCACTCAAAATACAATAAAAAGGGGGAGGGGGATTAACTTGGTCATAGAACCTGAGCCGTAGCTTACGGAGCCCGTGGGAGGAAGTTATCTAAGGAGGGGGATTAACAGTCCCGGGTCTAGTTGGTGCTCCTGTTGTCTACAACAGGTAAAAATATGTGGAACTTGCATGGCTGCAGCTGTATCAAGTAGGCAGGGTAGCAGCTTGTAGGCCTTCTCCTCTGGGCACGAAGGGGGTGATATCTGCCACAGTCCAAGGTGGTCGAGCTGTTTCTTGTGCTGCCTGCGCCGGTATGCCCAATGCTCTGAGGAATGCCGGTATTTCAGCAGTGTGTGATAGCTTGTGTGTCACGCCTGCCTTGTCCGCCTGTAGTCTGCGTGGGCCCCACTTGTAGGGGATGGCTTGATCCCGAAGTAGTTGTGTAACCTGACGGAAAGATTTCCTCCATTGTATAGTGTGTCTTGAATAGTCTCTGTAAAAAGCTAGTTGTGCCCCCTCAAATGGCACTGTGGGAGTGTCTCTTGTGGCCCCCATAAGTATTCCCCTGTCAGAGTCTCTCACAAATTTTATCAGGACGTCGCTAGCTCCTTCTCGTGGCGTAGAGGTCGCCCTGGAGAGCCTGAAGCAGGAATCGATCATTACCTGTTTCGCTTGCCGTGGTGTCAGAAGTGTGGCTATAAGCCGTCGGCAGAAATGTGGCAGTTCAGTGCCAGAGATTGTCTCCGGTACTCCCCGGACCCTCAGGTTCCGCGTCTTGTGCCTATCTTCCATGTCCGCCAGTTGTGCTTGCTGGTCGGCACACTGCTTGCGCAAGGCGTTCAGTGCAGCATCTGTGGCATTTTGCGCCAGCGTTGTACCTTTTGTGCCCTCTTCCACTGCTGTCACCCTGTTTGTTAGCACAGCAATATCCTCCCTCACCAGTGCCATATCTGCCTGAAACATGGTCTTGATTTCTTTAACCAGGGCTTTGATATCCGCTTTGGTAGCGGGTGCTGAGTCTCCCTGATCCTGGGGTCTCTGAGGTGCCTGGCGCCCTTGGCTCAGTATGGAGTGTTCAGTGTAGTGGCTATCCTCGTCCGAGGATTGGGAGGTGTAGGCCTCCGGCGCCATCTTGGGATTTGCCGGCCGCATGGCTGCGCGGAGAAAAGCTCCGATATCTCCAGATCCTGTGCTCGGATCTGCCCTCTGTTTTTTGGATTTCTTCCCCATGACACAGGGAGTCCGTGCTCTGTCTTTATTGCGCCGGTGAGTCGGTGTTTATTGTCTCTGGGCAACGTTTTTTCGGCTCGGTGCCTGGAGCAGTAGTGCTGAGCGTCTATCCTGCTCGGAAGCTGGCTCCGCCCCCCTCACCATTATTTTCTATAGAAACACGTCACACTATTTTTTTTAAAAGCACTTGAATTCCAGCTGATCCCTATGGATCCGGTTTATTTTGAATTATTTCCCACTTGGCCCCCACTCGAATTGTCCCGGAGAGAATCATTGATGGTTTATTAATTAAAGTGGGATGAATTTCGTTTTCAATGTACGGTAACTTTGTGTTTATGAAATAATCCCTCTGCATTGCTTGTGCCGCCATGTTCAGGTGTTTATAACAGATTTAGGGCTCATGGCGCTATAATTATTATTATTATTATTATTATTATGTTATTTATATAGCGCCGTCAAATTCCGCAGCGCTTTACAATGGGTGGACGAACAGACATGTAGTTGTAACCAGACAAGTTGGACACACAGGAACAGAGGGGTTGAGGGCCTGCTCAGTGAGTTTACATGTTAGAGGTAGTGGGGTATAGTGACACAGTAACAGAGGGATTGAGGGCCTGCTCAGTGAGTTTACATGTTAGAGGGAGTGGGGTATAGTGGCACAGTAACAGAGGGATTTAGGGCCTGCTCAGTGAGTTTACATGTTAGAGGAGTGGGGTATAGTGACAGTAACAGAGGGATTGAGGCCCTGCTCAGTGAGTTTACATGTTAGAGAGTGGGGTATAGTGACACAGTAACAGAGGGATTGAGGGCCCTGCTCAGTGAGTTTACATGTTAGGGGAAGTGGGGTGTAGTGACACAGTAACAGAGGGATTGAGGCCCTGCTCAGTGAGTTTACATGTTAGAGGGAGTGGGGTATAGTGACACAGTAACAGAGGGATTGAGGGCCCTGCTCAGTGAGTTTGCATGTTAGAGGGAGTTGGGTATAGTGACACAGTAACAGAGGGATTGAGGGCCCTGCTCAGTGAGTTTACATGTTAGAGGGAGTGGGGTATAGTGACACAGTAACAGAGGGTTTGAGGGCCAGCTCAGTGAGTTTACATGTTAGAGGGAGAGGGGTATAGTGACACAGTAACAGAGGGATTGAGGGCCTGCTCAGTGAGTTTACATGTTAGAGGGAGTGGGGTATAGTGACACAGTAATAGAGGGATTGAGGGCCTGCTCAGTGAGTTTACATGTTAGAGGGAGTGGGGTATAGTGACACAGTAACAGAGGGATTGAGGGCCTGCTCAGTGAGTTTACATGTTAGAGGGAGTGGGGGATAGTGACACAGTAACAGAGGGATTGAGGGCCCTGCTCAGTGAGTTTACATGTTAGAGGGAGTGGGGTATAGTGACACAGTAACAGAGGGATTGAGGGCCCCGCTCAGTGAGTTTACATGTTAGAGGGAGTGGGGTATAGTGACACAGTAACAGAGGGGTGGAGGGCCTGCTCAGTGAGTTTACATGTTAGAGGGAGTGGGGTATAGTGACACAGTAACAGAGGGATTGAGGGCCCTGCTCAGGGAGTTTACATGTTAGAGGGAGGGGGGTATAGTGACACAGTAACAGAGGGATTGAGGGCCTGCTCAGTGAGTTTACATGTTAGAGGGAGTGAGGTATAGTGACACAGTAACAGAGGGATTGAGGGCATGCTCAGTGAGTTTACATGTTAGAGGGAGTGGGGTATAGTGACACAGTAACAGAGGGATTGAGGGCCTGCTCAGTGAGTTTACATGTTAGAGGGAGTGGGGTATAGTGACACAGTAACAGAGGGACTGAGGGCCTGCTCAGTGAGTTTACATGTTAGAGGGAGTGGGGTATAGTGACACAGCAACAGAGGGATTGAGGGTCCTGCTCAGTGAGTTTACATGTTAGAGGGAGTGGGGTATAGTGACACAGTAACAGAGGGATTGAGGGCCCTGCTCAGTGAGGTTACATGTTAGAGGGAGTGGGATATAGTGACACTGTAACAGGGGGATTGAGGGCCTGCTCAGTGAGCTTACATGTTAGAGGGAGTGGGGTATAGTGGACACAGTAACAGAGGGATTGAGGGCCTGCTCAGTGAGTTTACATGTTAGAGGGAGTGGGGTATAGTGACACAGTAACAGAGGGATTGGGGGCCCTGCTCAGTGAGTTTACATGTTAGAGGGAGTGGAGTATAGTGACACAGTAACAGAGGGATTGAGGGCCTGCTCAGTGAGTTTACATGTTAGAGGGAGGGGTATAGTGACACAGAAACAGAGGGATTGAGGCCTTGCTCAGTGAGTTTACATGTTAGAGGGAGTGGGGTATAGTGACACAGTAACAGAGGGATTGAGGGCCTGCTTAGTGAGTTTACATGTTAGAGGGAGTGGGGTATAGTGACACAGTAACAGAGGGATTGAGGCCCCTGCTCAGTGAGTTTACATGTTAGAGGGAGTGGGGTATAGTGACACAGTAACAGAGGGATTGAGGGCCCGCTCAGTGAGTTTACATGTTAGAGGGAGTGGGGTATAGTGACACAGTAACAGAGGGATTGAGGGCCCTGCTCAGTGAGTTTACATGTTAGAGGGAGTGGGGT